GCGGCCAGCACGTAAGGCTGACAACCTTACCGACATCTGTGGGCCGACTGTCTAGATAATGTGGGAACCTCGACGTCTCACAATTCTATGGGCCTCCATGGCCTTTTACCTTTTACATTCTCCACAGTCATCGCTGAATGAATCTCAAATCCTGTGTAGGAACTTCTTCTATGGCTTGAGGCAAGACCTAACGAGGGGATAGAGAGAGAGAGAGTATGATTTCTTTCATTTCCTGCTCACTGGAAGAGGGAAATTTAACCAATTTCCGATATTTATGGCTTCAACAGCCTGAGAAGTTTGACAGAGCACGAAACCATAGTTTTAAACGACCAGAAGTCTCACTTTATTGCACACAGCCATGCTAGAAGAACTGCAGGTTCTGCAGAAGACTCTTACGTTTGTAGAAGTTGAATTTACCATTTCCGTTCCAATGGATTCATAATAGATCATCTTATAGCTTACAGAATAATATGTCCCCTGAAATTTAGATTACGTCACTCATATTTTTTTGATGGAAAACTTGTCGATAGGGCACGGTGATAAGTAGTATTTTTACTTATAGACAACGTATTCTCTGAAACATTTAAGATCAACTGTCCCAATTTTTGAAGACGTGAAAAAGATATTTAACATGAAAACAAAAGACAAACTCCATGGCTTTAGTCAGCAAGCTAACTATACCGACCGAGCGATCGCCGCTTGTCGGCAAAGTTAGTACCAATTTTTGCGGATAGAGGGTGTCGAATGGGCAGCGCAACGGATTCCAACGGCCCTTAATCTCGGGGTTCTAGACCGGAACCACTACTTTTCCATTCAAGTAGCTCCTCAAAATAGAACTGCATTAGGAAAATGAAAATATAACTCAAAAAATTTTTTTTGGCAATGCTGTACTGGCCGTATTGATTTCGCGAAGAAAATATGTCATACCTGAAAATGGCGGCTGTTCAAGTTTCCGGTTTGGAAATTATAGGCCACGGAAAATTCGACAATAATTTAAAATCACTCTTTATAAGATGTCCGGATGAAAGGTATCCAGAATAAAGTAATTATATCTCAGAAAGCTTTTACTGTACACATTTATGGATTACACAATTACAAAGGGAAATTATCAAAGTTATTTCTGAATATATAACTTTATCAATAAATTTCAACGTGGGCTCCGTGGTGGCACGACAAATATCTAGACGATATTCGACCTCGTTCCGCGTTGCTTCAAACATGTTTGATGTTACCGTAGCCACAGCGTCACTTATGCGGGCTTTCAGGTGTTGAAGGCCGTTGATCTTAACCTGGTAGACAATGTTCTTCACATAACCTCAGAAGAAAATATTCCAATGGGGTTAAATCTGACGACCTAATAGACTAAGCGATTGGTCCACTTCTGCCGATCTATCTCCCAGGTGATTCCTAACAGGGAGGCAGAAATGTGGCGGCGCCTCGTCTTGTTGGAGGACAGTGTGAATTGGTAGTTGGGGCAGCGCTTACAGCTCCAGCATGTCCAAGTACAAACCTCCAGTCATAGTCTTTCCGAAAAGAAAAACTGTCCAATCAAATTTTCGTGCATTAAACCGGTCCGTACGTTCACTCTGGGGCTGCCTCTCTCCAACTCACATGTGATATGTGGATTTTGACTGCCCCAAATCCTGCAGTTGTACCTGTTTACACCGCCACTGTCATGGCACGTCGCCTAGTCCGAGAGCCACACTTGCTGGAGGAAATAGGGTGACGCGTCAGTTCTTTCTAGCATGTCCACAGCGAAATTTGTGCACGTTAATTGGCCACTCGGTTTTAGTGTATGAAGCATTTGAATCTCATACGCTTATAGGCGGAGCCTTTTGTGTAGCACATCGTGTGCTTTTGAACATGGAATTTGTACGTAACTGCAAGCTAGCAGCACGAATTGATTTAAAATGTAAAGCTATCTTTGTAACAGGTCGTGGAGGCCCATTGGGCTGTGAGATTTCGGGGCTCCCACATTTTCTAGATATTCGACTTACAGATAGCGGTGAGGTTGTCAGCTGTACGCGCCGGCCTCCGTTTACGCTCAGGAAAATTCCTGGTACTCATTCCTGTGAGAGGCAGAGTCGACTCCAGGGCCATAGTGCGGTTGGAAGGATTAGTTCAATTGAAAAATCCTATTATCACATCAGGAATCG